TTTTTTTTTTTTTTTTTTTGTACCAGGGATCAAACTTGGATCCTTGTTCTTGAGAGGCAGGCGGTGGAACCACTGAGCTAAATCCCCGGCCCCAATTATACTTCTCTTAATAAAACCAGCTCCAAAACTGCAGCAGGTTCTAGTCTCTGGAATCAGTGGGTCACTGATTTTGAGACACTAAAGAGCTGGTGAAATGCTCCCTTATTTTGCCTTTGAAAATCAACTGTGGGTTAGACTGTAGCACCAAGGTCTACATCCCATGAGGCAAATCCTTAGTAAAGCTAGGAACAGTACACTCAACAGGCATGTACCAAGAAACAACCCAAAGTCATGCACAGCAGTGGAGGTGCAGCTCTGTGGCAGAGCAGGGTGAGGCCTGGGTTCCAGCCCAGCAACGGAAAACAAAAGTCACTCATCAAACCTGAAAACTGGTTCCTCACAGTGTCCAAAAAAAAGTGGCACAATCAAGAAAGAGTGAAGGACAATTTTATCACAATTCCAGCAAATGCGGGGTATTCATCATGTTACATTACCCAACATACATACACTGCCCACTTTAAAAAGGCCTCAAAGGGTAGCACAATCTCATGCCTATGAAAAAAAACAAAATACAACTCAACTTTCTCTTCACCACACACTACCAAGCGTCTGAATTGACTGAACATATGCTTTGCTTGAAAATCTCCAGAAATGGATACACCTGCCTCTATCTTGTCCCTGAGCACGAGTACTGCCAGCTAACCTCTCCACCAATGACAAGAGCAGAAACAGGAAGAACGAAGTACAAATTACTGCTTAGTCCTCTGAAAAGTTAAAATTTACAGTGCTTAAAAGAAAAGCCAAGCACAGTGGCCTGCACCTGTAATCTCAGCACTCTCAAAGGCTGAGGCAGGAGGATCACAAGTGCAAACATAGCTGGGGCTACTTATACTTAGCAAGACTATGTCTCAAAATTTTAAGAATGTGGGGATTAGGGAGCCCATTGCACAAGTCAGGATGTACCTCAGAGTAAAGGCCCATGATTCAATATCCCACCCCAGTATCGGACGGACACACACACACACACAAAACGAAGACAAGGCCCGTGTGTCTGTATCCCCTGCAGACATTAATGGAAGCCAGCAGGTAATTAGTACAGAATAAGAGGAATTTTAAAGCTTTTGTAAGTAAATAATATAAACTTCTACAAAGATGATCATACCACAATGCTCCTCAAACTACCGCCTTACAAGGTATCTTCACTTCAAACTAACCATACAAACTTCTGAAATCTGCCCTTTGAAGTACAGTGGACCCTTGATTTTGATCAGTTCCTGAGGGCTGGTTACAACTCCAGTTGGTTGCAAGACAATACAGATGAGATCTGAATGTTTACCTGGCTACGTACACACTATAGGTAATAAGAGGCAGATGAATCTTCCCTTAACCTAATTAACCCAAGTTGGTTGTGTATCGGGCCAGTCATAACTTGAGGGTCCACTGTACTCCCCAGAGGAAGATAAAACACAGTCAATGCCATAGTGTCTATCCTTCAAATTAGAATAGTTACTACTGAGCATCCAAAATTAAACCTGGGACCTTGGGAATCTTTGGGTTGCATTTTGTAAAAAACACGAGGCAGGCGAGGGATTTAGCTCAGTGGTTCCATCGCCTGACTCACAAAGGCCAAGGACCAGAGAGGGAGGCAGGGAGGCAGGGAGGCAGGGAGGCAGGGAGGCAGGGAGGCAGGGAGGCAGGGAGGCAGGGAGGCAGGGAGGCAGGAAGGAAGGAAGGAAATACAGGGAATAACAAGTATCACTGAACCGAATCAAACCCAGTGGGAGAAAACACAGAGGAGGAAAACCAAGCAGAGATGAGAAAATGCAGCTGGCACAGGATTTCTCCAGCCTGAGAACAGAGTATGAACCCACAGGAGCTAAGCCCGACGGGCCATGGGCTGTGGGCTGAGTCAGTCTTCAGTGGGAGTGGGTGGAACTAAGCTGCCCTAGGCACAAGCAGCTTTCAGCTTTATTATCAATCTACAGTAACACCTTTGATACACAGACAGCAAAGGGTCTATCAACTTTCCCAAGCTGCCATTTAAATGCTCTACTGTTCATCCCAGGCAGTGATATCTTCCCTGCATAAAGAAGGGCCACATCTCTTCCATGTTGCTTTTACACAGTGGACTCAAGACTCTGCAATGAACTCTGTGATCAGAAATCCAAAAAATCAGATCTGAACACAAGTTGTCTATTCTATCATTAACTTGATGAGACAACATTCCATCAATGAGGACAATACAAAGGTGAGCACGCATTTGTGTGCTCCCCTAAAAGACCCAGCATCTTCTACTCTAATACCCAGCCTAGTGCTTATTGCTGGAGCTGCACACCTGAGTCATTATCAGCAGCCAGTGTGTTCAAACACCTGTGCAAATTCAAAACTAATTATTAGCAAAACACTAATCATGGGATAAACTAGACTGTTGTCTGCCTCCTGTCTCCCCAGATGGCAGCATAAGACTTCTCTATCAAATGGCTCACCCTGTCCATTCAGGAGAAATACCAAACTTCTACACCCTAAACATTCCTGTTATCTGCTCCCAGGGCTCATTCAGAAATGATGAAGCAAGTACTATAGCCAGCACATTCGGCACACACAGGTTTTCTGGCGCTGAAGCTTTAGACGTAAAACTAATGCCCACTGCACCTCCACACATGGCATGGATGCATACCTGATATCCACCCTCATCCAGGGACATGGGCAGCTACACATTGGACTCCGAATGTGACAATTTCAAGCCTCCACTTACTGCTATCTTTACTCAAATTGTTTCAACCACCTCAGTTAATGTCTATTATGTTGTTTTCTTTTTAAAGGGCCTATGAGATTTTAATGCTTTTTACTTGTTTTCAAAAGCAAATACACCAGGGTTCTTTTAAAGACTCCATGGTACTATAAGAAATTCCCATGGGTACCCACTTGCCAGCAGTCAGGAAAGTGCTGTGCTGCGCTCAT